TGCACAGTTGAGAAGAACATGATTGGAAAATAATCGGTTCATACCTAAAATCACATCTAATTGTGATAAAGGTAGGCAGATCAAATTTACAAGAAATTTTCTATCATCAATGAAAAGAGGACAATCTAAACAAACTTTATTAACAATTACAGATTTGTTTGTAGGGGTTGAAACAATTAGGTTAGTCTTTAAAGAAGTGACTGACAATTGAAGGTGTTGAACGCAATCATTGGAGATAAAAGAATGAGTTGCACTTGAATCATACAGTACATTCAAAGTTTTACCTTTAATGAAACATGTACCTTGTATTAGATCATTGTTTTGAGCAGTTTCAGTTCAAGTCAAGGTATAAACTCTCCCAGTTGTAGGAGGTCTTGGTTTGGGTCCAGAAGTATTTGCGCGTGTCTTTGGTTTACCACAATTAGAAAACACATGACCAGGCTTTCCACACTTGAAACAGACAGGTCCTTTGAGATGACAGTCCTTAACATAATGTTCATGTCCACACTTAAGACACTTAACCTGATTATTCATAGGTCTACTAGAATTTCTTGCAAATTGAGAAGATTGGGGTTTTCATTGAGGTTGATCATAAGGTTTTCCTTTATTATTCCTTTTCTTATTAAATTGAGGACCAAAATTTTTTTCTCTATTATCTTTATTGTGATCAAAACCTTCCAGAAAATGACACTTGTGTATTAATGTAAGAAAATTAGAAATTTCTAATATCCCTACTGTCTTTCTTAATTCTAATCTAAGTCCATCCTCAAATTTTATACACTTCATTCCCTCATTAGGATGATAAAAGAAAACAGAATATTTTCCTAATTCCTCAAACTTAGAAGCATATTCTCCTATTGTCATGTTCCCTTGTTTTAATTGCATAAATTCTATTTCTTTAACCCTCCTAACATCCTTAGGAAAATATTTTCAAAAAATTTAGCTGTAAATACTTCTCATGTAATAATTATTCCTCCTCCTTCTAAAAACCTTCTAGTACTATCCCACCAATATTCTGTTTCTCCTACTAACATAAACACTGCATAATTTACTTTTTGGTTATTAGGACAATTCATGGCTCGAAATATCTTTTATATTTCCTTAATCCATAATTCAGCTTTTTCAAGATTATATCCTCCGTTAAAATGGGAAGGTTTATTTCTCCTAAACTCAACCAATCCCTATGACTGCCCCATTCCTTATAGTCTTTGATTTCTTAACAACACTGCAGCCATGTCCTTAATAGCTTGTACAACCTCTGGCAGTTCTGTATTTCTTCTTCCTACCATTTGAATATTTTTTTAGGTTAGTTTATCATACTAAAAACATGGTTGGCACATTTGCCCAAGTTACACATGGAACGTTGCTCTAATACCATTAAAATGTAATATCTAATTATATAATATTAAATATATATTTTCTTAGATGTTATTATCACAATTATATTATTAATAGTATTTTACATAAAGACAAAGAAGATTTTGTAAACTTATTTACAAATAGTTAGCTTATAATTACATTACATACTATTCTAAAAAATATTTACAACATCATACTACTATACACACTATTTATTTCTCCCACTTCTACTATAATATTTACATTGATGGTGGAAATAAATTTACAATTGGATTAGCATGGTTGGCGAATGATAAAAAAAATTACTATAATAGGTCCATCAATAATAGTGGAGTTTTCTTGGTAAAAAAAAATATGAAGATAATCATATGTCTTGAAACATAACAGAGTTGGAAACAACATTCACATTCCAATTCCTTCTAGGGAAGATAGCAGTAATAACAACTATAAAAAGACCTGGAATCGCGGGTAGATCCATCTATTTTGTAATATATTTAATTTTAAAAACAAAGAAAATAAGGAGTGAAAACAAATATCCAATAAATACAAATAATTCAATAGAATGTACAGAATTATTTATAATCAATATTAAATATATATGTATATATTTATACATATAAATATATTTTAGACTTTCTTGTTACAATAAAATTTGAATTATTTTAGTAGTGACTAGTCAGTATAAATGAGCATAATAATATCAACCAACAAAAGGATATTTCACCTTAAGTCCCGACTCATTTAAATCCTTAAGGTTAAACCTCCAACTACAAATTAATTTAAACTTTATTTCTTATGGCCATAGAATAACATTTATCTTTATAATATATGAAAAAATAAATAAAAAATGAGCTTAGAATATTTTAACAAAGCTATATTATAGTTAGAATTAATATAAAATAATTATGCTAAATAAGTTTAAATATTTTTAATTATTTAAAATTTAATATAATATAGTTTACAAAAATGGAATGTATTAAAGAATATTAATTTATTAAATGACATTAATAAACATCATAAAATAATTAAACAACATAAACTAAGAACACCTCATTAATTATTAAGAGTAAAAAATATCTTAGATTAAGCAAGTAAATGAGGTTAGAGATACCTCACTAAATAAATATACATAAATATAACATAAATAAACAAACATAATAGTATATAAAATTTTAAAAGGATAAAGATCTCCTCCCCCTTACCTTAGTAGAAAAATGAAATGACTTAGAGGTATTCTAAAATTATATATTTCTTTTCTCCTTTCTCTCTTTTCTTTTTCTCTCTTCCTTCTTAATATTCTTTCTTTTCGTAAGTTCTCTCTTTCTCTCTTCTCAAATTTTTGTAGTTCCATATTCCCCCACCACATGGCCTATTTATAGCAAATTTGGTAATGATTACTTAGTTTGCATGTAATGATATGTTTTTCCTTTTTGGTTGATTTCCAACCATTATTTACTTGTAGATAGAATCTTTTTACTAATGGATATGTTTCATTACATAATCTTACCCATACATTTAATGTAGATAAGGTATCTCTCTCTCTTTTTTGTTTTTTAACCTTCTTTCTTTTATAATAATTATTTATATTAAACATTTAGTAATTTTAAATATTTATTTTTCATAATAGTAATTAAAATATTATTCTGAAAAATATTATAAACAAGGTTTTAAAATTTTATAATGTCATTATATTTTATATATTTCCATTTTAGTTTCTTGGAAATATTGTGATAAAAATTCTAATGCTTTAAAATTATATAAAAATATTGTATTTAATTTCTATTTATTTTAAAATATGACAACAAAAAATTTAGACTATTATTTTAAGAATAAGATAATAATAATAAAATTGAGAGTATTGTATCATAAATTTAGGATATTACAGGTATCACTTCCATCTCTGTTTTTGTTACAAAATGTGAATCTTTATGTTTTTTTTGTTTTTGTTTTTTTTAGTGTTTCTTTCTTTTTTATCATCCATTTCGGTTGTTTTGGAAGTAAGTAGTTTGATAATTGAAAAAAATTTATATATAAGGAGAGATTCATTAATATTTATCTTAAAAGTAACTTTTGATAAATTTATTTCATTTAATAACCTATGTTTTATATAACTACTCAATATATTTTTAGAATTAGTATAATTCAATTATTATGCTACTATAAAGTTATTAACTACATTAAAATTTTCATGTAGCAATCACATGTATATTCATATAATATGTATATATAGAAAACAAAAAATAGTTTAGGGTTTAGGGTTTCAGTAAACATAAAGTCTCTTATGAAATTTACATATAAATCATGTACTATGGTTTTAAATTGTGATTGTGGGTATTATAGTCATTGCAATGCGAGTTGTGACTATTGTAGTGTAAATTTATTAAATATATGTACACTAAATATAAAAATAATATTACTATTAATGTATCTAATACCTTTTCTTTATAAGGTTGTGTACATTTTTTGTTAATTCTTTTATTAAAAGATTTATAGTAAATTTATTTTTCCCTCTTCCATTAACCCAAAATTTTTACCAGCAACCCAATTTGACATCTCACAACTTCCTAAAATCCCTCCATAATTTAATATTTTTCTATCATTTTAATTAAAATAAGAACTTGAACTCTAGGTAATAGCCTAACTCACGACACACACATAAGAAAAAAATTAAAATATAATAATTAAGAGACAGATGTTTTGAAAGAATAACCACAAAAAAGGTATCTCTTTATGTATCGTTAATTTTTTATATGTTAATGAATAAAATTATATTTAATTAATATGGTATATATTTTTATAATGGTAAATTAATTTCCTTGTTACAAATATATTAAAAATTGTTAAATTTTTTTAAAAATATAAAATAAAATATTCCCCTCATGGTTTATTATTGTGTTATATTATGAGTTCACACTCTAATATGGAGATCAGTGCACATATTTAGGCTTGATTTATGATTGATTACACCTCTCTCAATTACTTTATAGTATGATATTTTGCTTTGTTTATAAGAATCAAATACTGCGTTAACAAAATTTAGGATACTGCTTTATTTAAACAAATGAGTTAGATCTTCTTTATTTTATAGTATGATGATATGAATGATAATTGTGTATTATAATTAATTATTTTATTAAGGAAAAAAAAGGATTTAAATTAAGTTTTCTAAGAAGGGTGAAAATTATGGGTGTTTGTCTATAACTCGCCGCAAAATTCTTCGAATAGAGAAATTAAGATAAACTTTGAAAATTATAATTTCTAGAAATAATGAAAATTTATTTAGTTAATTATAAATAAATTTAAAAGTATTTATAAACAAAATAAATACTTATTATATTAAAATTTTATTTTTAATTCGAGAAATTAACTTTCCACCTCTCCGTCAAGACAATTTTATGGAAAACTTATCTAAAAGTTAGCCCTGAAAAATAATAGTATATTAAATTTTGTTGAATATAAGAAATTAACATCTTAATATTTTATTTTTGAAAAAAAAAAAAACTTTTCGTTTATGAAAACGTGCTGTTAAAGTCACCTATGTTAAAAACTTTTTAAAATAGCAGCAAGAGGACCAAATCTAAATTTTTAATAATTGAAGACCCTTTATTTATTTATATAGAAGACAAATAGTTGATTACACATTTGATATACACAGGTAATCTAACGAGTGAAGCCGTGCACCCTTGTGCACTCTAGAGAACGCCACCTTCATTATATATAAACAATTATGACTATATGATTTCTCTCTCACACTCTCATACTCTTAGTTTTTCAGCTTCACCACATCGATCCATCAACACGTAATGGAATTTTTCACCAAAACCAACGTCGTCAAGCTGCGCAGCCACCTCGACAAGTACCTTGTGGCCGACAACGACGGCGAGCGCGTCCGCCAGAGCCGGAAGGGCTCCGGCCGCCGAGCGCAGTGGACGGTGGAGGAATCCGAGGGGAACAAGGTGCGCCTGCGGAGCTGCCACGGGAGGCACTTAACGGCGACGGAGACGCCGTTTCTGTTAGGCATGACGGGGAAAGCGGTGCTCCAAACGGAGTACGAGGCCGGCGTGGATTTCAAATACGAGTGGGAAGTCATACGCGACGGCTTTCAGGTGAGGCTCCGGAGTTGGAGCGGGAAGTTCCTCAGGGCGAACGGAGGCACGCCGCCCTGGAGAAACTCCGTCACGCACGACGAGCCGCATAGTTCGGCCACCAGGAATTGGGTTCTGTGGGACGTAGAGGCGGTCCAGGAGTTTTCTGCTGAGAGCGTC